CTTAGGCCTGTGTGTTTGTTTTAGTTTTAAGAGTCTTCACTGATGCTGTCACCAAATTATGCAAGCAGACTGCCCATAGCATCCCAACCCTATGGGCAATCTGAGACTAACAGGTTGATTTGATAAGATGGATTAAAGTTGCATAGCTAAGCCTCTATAAAAGCTAAGCATTTCCTCCCGCTGGGAAAACTGATTTCTTAGTTTAAATGTTTTAGGAAATGATCCCTGCAGACCACGAGACTGATCATTCCTGGTTTTACGGTTTTAAAAAACATGAAATATCTTGTTGCACTCATAAAAAAGGCTAACTCATTGTGAACCTTAATCCTGTCTCTCTATAAAGGCAGCATCGTTTTGTTTTAAGGTTCATAAGAAGCTGTTTTTAAGTCCATTATCAGTTTTTTTAATCTAAATAATTCAGAATGTTTATTCTACCAAATTTAAGCACAAACTATGTTTCACTAATTAATTACAACTGATCATCACACATCCTTAGCATCCAACGGTTTATCCACCGACTCACTGTTAAACTATTGAAGGACTCATACAAGAATAAAGAAGCTGTTGGGCTTCCAAACTGCACAGACAGCAGCAACTGCAAAATTGAAAAAAGGCTTTTTAGTCTCTCAATTATTTGTGTTCCTCAGTCTTGAGGATTGTTGTGCTATTGCATCATGGAACCTCAAGAGAAATGAGAAAGGAGCAGGTCTATGCAGGGAAATTAGCTCAGCCGTTCACTCCTGATATCAACGTGGAAAGTGGGGGTGTAAATTATGGTATTACAGCAGCTGTGAGAAATGTTAGAAGTAATCACTGTGGAGTGAGTGGGGGTTTTAGCAGGCTGACTGTTGCTCCTTGGGGCCTAATCCATGCCAGAAGGAGGATGAAGTGGGATGCAGAGGGAGTTTAATTTGATGGGATAAAGCTGATGGAGATGCTCAGATTTTCAGTGTTATCCCTGTTTTTATGAAAAGCTTAATCCTGAGGACCAAGAAACCACATTTTCACACTGGCCACCCTGTATTTTGGAGTTTTTTCAATGTGGTTTTGAAACGGTTTACCTAAGCTGAGACTGATAGACTTTCACAGCCTGGCGAGGTACAAAAAATCTTTCAGCTAAAGTTACAATGGGAAGAACTTCACGATAAAAGGGCAGCTCCGAGTATCAGCCATCGTAATTTCAAAACTCACCTTTGTTTTGATTTTCTAAACACCCTAGCACGTGTAAGTGATGTAGCTATATAAGGAGGTGCCACCTGAATCAGGCCCCAAATTATGCAAAGTAACAAGCACTGCGTCCAGTTATACTGTAGGAAAGCCACACACTCCACTTTGATCCTCTCATTATTTGAACAGTAGGAAAACAGTTATAAAAGGAGCAACAAAGAAGTGATTAAGCAAAATTCACTGTGGCTCTTTCCAGAGAACAATCTTGACCACAGCACACTGTGTATGGAGGATGGGTGGGGGGTGGTTGGGGGGGTTCAAAGATATTGTGAAATAGTTCCAGTATGTGAGAGTATTACATATTCACCCCCTGTGAGTCAGCCCCTCGCCTCTGACCACAAATATTACAGTGCATCTGTGCACTGAAACAATGGTGTTCCCCTTCACTTCGCATCACTTATTTCCCCCTGTGCCTGGACAGGGGGAAATAAGAACCTTGAACAAGCAAAGCAGTGTGTGTGAGAGACTGAAGATAGAAAAAAAGAGCGATGGAGAGACATGGCAGTGACAAAAATCTGTTCCTGCAAAAGGAGAGGTCCAAGAGCAGGGATGCTGTTCCCAAGGAAAAGTTGAGTAAGCTCAGTGAGTTATCATCGATTTCATGTTTTACAAGTTAGATTTGGCCAAACTCAAAGTGTAAAACCAGCAAATTGGTGGGATTAAGCTTTACAAGCCCAGTTGGAGATTGGGTTTGGAGTGTTCTTCTCTAAACAGTGAATCAGATGAAACTTTAACACCAAAAGCCAAATTTCTCATTTGATTTAAAGTCATCTAATTTCCCCACTCAGCATAAGTTAAAAAAAAAAAAAAATCGTGAATCAACTGTTACATCTTATCTACTAAAGGCGCATTAAAGAAATATCTCGGCATATTTCAGGTTTACCAGCAGTCTGTAATTTATCCCATTCATTCTATTTTAAGTAGAATCTAATCAGTTTGACACACTTTTACTTTCGTAATTAATGCAAGTATTGTGTTTGACACACTTTTACTTTCGTAATTAATGCAAGTATTGTGTTTCAAACTGCTACTTCCATGAAAGTGTGAGGCACCAGACCCGCAGGGATGTACTCACCCGTGACCCAGGCTTCTGTGCCGACACTTGAGGCAGGTAACAGAGGAACAGAGGCGCCATAAAGTAGGAGACGGTAAAAATGAGGAAACTTGATAATAACATAATTGAGCGTCGGTGAGCGCAGAGCGAAGAGCGGCAGGTAGTCTGAGCGCACAGCGTGTCCGTCTGTAATACTGATGATCGACAGGTCCAAACCGAAAAAAAATATATAATAGCACGCCCCAAAAAGACTCCTTAACCCTAATTTCCTGTTAATAATTCTCCTGTGTCTACTCCTCCGATAACTATTCACATAGTGCCACGCGTGTGATCGGGAATCAGGACTTGGCCGTCACCATTGTGATTGGTTTTATCCACTGCGGGAGGATCAGCTGTTCATCGCGGCTTCCACAGGTTGAGTCGCGCCTGTATCCATTGCACCTTCATTTAAAAGCAAAGGAGGGAGCAGCCGCCTCTAGCTGACACTCGGAGGACCCAATAGCAGCGGCCGGTGGCAGGAAAGCCACGCCCACCTCACCCCAAGATTAACTGTTCGCGGAGGAGAAAGATCTGCTCCGGTCAGTTAGGAGAGAGGAGCAGGAGAGGCAGCAGCTGCAGGAACACTCAGTGTATTATCATGAGTCTTTGAGAGCAGAGACAATGGCCGAGCAATTGTGAGGTCAAATTTTAGGTTCTCATCCCCTTTCAGAGACATATAATGCTCTATAATAGCCTAGTATCCTGCTGCCGTGACATTTAGCCTGCGTACTTGGGTTACAATGGAAAACATCTATTGAGTAAAGTCAATAGCTGTCACAAGCACTGCAGGGGGCCAGTCTGTGTTTGTAGATTTGGCTGTGTGTGTGTGTGTGAGAGAGAGAGAGAGTTGTTGTGGGTTTTAGTTGGCAGACGATTCATTGTTTGATAGAGCAAAAAACAACTGTTTGTGTCACTTTATCCCCAATTACATGGTCATAATGTAACTCATTTCATAGAATAAATGTTTTTTTTTCTGGTAGAGAACCTATTTGGTTTTGGGGATTTTTTCAAAATAAACTGGTTGATCTTCTAAGAGCTGTTTGGCTAGCAATGGAATTTCTTCATCTTATATGATAGTCTGCAAAAACCTCAGTAGTTAATGTATATTAACACCATATGTATTTGCAAATACTCACAATGTTAAAACTGCAATTTTTTAATTTACAGTAAGACTCAAATTCAGAAGAAAATATAGGGTTATTAGTATTTTGATAAATAACAAACAATAATCTATGACAACAAAGAAGTAATCAATGTGTCTTAAGCTGCAGTGCAAAAGAAAATAACTTCTTACTTCTTAAAAACTAAGTGCCTTTTGATCATTTTTATTTTCTGCTCTATAGAAAAGATTTACTACTACTACTTTCCAGACTGATATAATGCATATATGCATATAATATGTGATGGTGTATAGGTTTAACCTAGCTCTGCTTCAACCTTCTACCACAATCAGAAATGAATGTATTAATTCTAATATTGTATTAGTGGTTTGCTGTGCACCACAACATGAATGTAGGGACAACATTTCTGCATTGTTGCAACCCTTTTGTCATTTATATATACGTTTGGGTTTTTCACATTTAAGTGGAAGGTTTAAGGTTGTTATGAAGCACTTTAATATCGCAGTGTTGTTGCTTTGACAACCGTAAATATTCTCAGTACTTTTCCACCAACCTGAGCAGGAAAGCACACTTAATGCATTCACAAAACATGCTCCCACACTGTAATCGGCCTGCAACCTCTCAATTTCTGGCTCTCACATCTTCCTCGCCTCCGTGCTGTCCATTTCTCCATCTTTTCCTTTCAGATAAATTGTGAGGCCCATTAAGAAGAGAGAAGCAGTGTTTAGTGCAGGTGTCCCGTCACCCTTTACTGGAACGGGTAACCCCACCCCCACCCCGAATCCCCTTCTCTCACTCTTTGTCCCTATAGATATTTTTTAATTGTTGGTTTTGACAGTTCAGCGGCTTTTTGAGTGCCTCAGAGAAGAGCCTTGTAATTAGAGCTATTGAGCTTCTGGAATTGGCACAATTAGGGTCAGCATTAATTATTCTTCTGTGCTCTGGCAAGTTTCTGTAAAGCACTGTTTGCAGAAAAGATGCCAGAGGAGGGTCACTCCAAATGGGAGAGATAAAAATGGATGGGGCAGTTGTACAAAAGGGAGAAAAACCGAGGCCTAAGTGGTCTCAAGATAGTGAATTATCTGGATTCTTGCTTATCGGACCACCATAGAAACTCAGCAAAGCGTCCGTGTAGTATCATTATCAGAGCTGTGAGAGAAGGGATGCGCCTCATTCCAAGTTGGTTCCCACCCCGGAGACTTAACCCAACTACCCCTCCCGCTTTGTGCCAGCCGGTCCACTCCTGTCCTTGTGTGAGTGGAGTAATGCTGTGGGAGGTGAGGATGAGGAGCAGAGAGGGTCAACGGGAGTGTCTCTTGGAATGTTAACGAGATCAGTTTATATCTGCTCTTCCCTCTCACTTCAACCCGCCACCCTGAACAATGAAGACAAAGTTTTCAGGGCTGCAAAGCCGTTGTAGTGAAAGCATGGCTTGACACTTTAATTCTGTTGTCATTTGGCCGAACATAAAAGAAAACCTCTGACAACAAAAACAAAAGGAGGAATGAATGGGCATGCTGAAAGAAAATGTACATCCCAATTACTGCAGTGGCCCTTCCAAAGACGCCCCAGCCGCCGGTCCCCCCACCGGCTTACGCCAACTACATACGGCCGAAAATTAGCGGGTGTATGCAGACACAGAAACAGACGGAGCAGCACTGAGGCCACCCAGAGATCTGACGGCCTCGGGAGGGGAGCAGGTTTAGCACAGATGTGCCGCAATGATGTCACGTTGCCTAAAAGTACAGTTTAGGTGCACATGCAGTTCAGATGTAGTATGATAAATGCTGAGAGGAAAACAAGTTGAAGAGAGGCAAAAACTGCTACTTGTTGTTCATTTTTCCAGTTTAATGCTAAATGACTACATTTTTGTCTAAATAAAATCAGCATTTGTTGTGTGTTTCAGTAGATTCTCATTGTTCTTCTAATAACAAAATCCATGAAAACCTATTTGTGACTTTTATTCCAGTGTGTAAATAGTTCCTCCCTTTGTTTATTGTAGCGGTATTTCACCCTCACCTATACAACAATAACAAGCTGATTTTTAGTTAATTTACCAGTAATTTAGGATAATCTGAAAAGGCCTACTGTAATTATTGACCAGTCACCCAACAATACAGCAACCATACACCGAATCTGTCTCTGGGTTTAGGATTTTTTTTCATCCCTGAGGTTCTTCAAGTGCTTGAACTTATTCAAATTATTAAAGTATTTGCAACTCCCATGTTGCTTCACTACTTGTTTGGCATGCATTTTTAGTATCTCCTATGTTCCTCTGTGAGGACACGGGGTCTCAGAAGGTTTACTTCACTTCCCACACACCTCCGTACCGATATAATTGTTTTTACGTTAGTGAATATTATTTGACTTTGTTTATTATTTGTACTATTAAAGCAATTGCTTTAATAGTACCTCCACTGCAATCAGCTTTAGAAAAACTTTGCTTGTATTTCACTGTATCAGTAAAAATAAACCAGTTATTTCAGATTTATTAAAATGTTAAAAAAGAAGGCATACTTCATGATTAGTATTCTGTGCTTGCAGTTGTAGTTCTATTACTTGTATTTCTGCTACTTTTACACCCACGTGTAGTGTCTGAATACTTTTTCTAGCAGTGCATCTGTTTGATGAGTGTGTGATTGCACTTCAAAAGGCAGTACTGTCACACACAACAGAATACAGTTGAAGCACTGAATGAAAGACAGAGAGGAGCGGGCGGCTTGTGTGCTGAAGGGGAAAATCGAAGGTCAGATACAAAGCCTTCTCTTTTTAAAGTGTCATCTGGATTTCATTTCATAAATTCCATATATTTTACATGTACTGGCCGCAATTTTCACTAGCTCCTGAAAACAAGGAGGAGTGTATAGCCCTTGGCTGGCCAGCATTTCTTATTACCCTCTTCAAGTACCCTTCAAGTACACACTTGCACACAAACATACACACACTGAAGGTGATGTAGAAGCATGTCTGGTGATGGAAAAGCATAGCAACAAATAAATAAGCCCACAAAGCCAAATTATCTATGACATTAATCAGAGATGTGAGGGATTTTTACGCAGTGAGAGAGTGAAAGAGAAAGTGGCAACAGAGAGCCACGGGTGTGAAAAGGCCTATTGAGTCTGGAATGGGGTGTCCCGCACCTGCGCTGTCTATTCACCCCACTGTTTACACACTGTCATCCACAATTAATACCTCCTGGGGACTGGGCTGCTTGCCCTGTGCAGGGCCCCCAGACCCATCCAGGCCCTTATGGATGCCTAATTGAGCATACCGCTCTCCTGATTGAATTAACAGCTATGTCTCTGGGACCTTTTCCCCTTCCACTAAGGAGGGGGACTGTTCCACACCCGCATGAGACCCCTGTACCATCCCACAGAATAGACAGCAGGGAGAGAGGGGGTTGGTGGCTGAATATAGCAAAGGGCTAGAAGCGGGAGTTGAAGCGGTCTAGAAAATGTGGCCCTTTCTGTTGGCAAACCAAGGCTGGAAATGTGAACTGGGGGCAATGAAAGGTCTCAATATTCGCAGGGCCAGTGAGTTCCAGCAGGCATGTAGTACTGTACACGCACGCACGCACACTTATTTGAGTGCTTGCGCAGCACTAAGTTTCCCAAAATCCAAGTAATCAGTCTTGCACTTTATTTTGCTGTTATATTTCTCGTTCCTTGTATTTTCTTTGTTTGTCTGTCAGTGAGACACAAAAATTTACAAGAGCAAGTTTCATGCAAGTTAGTGGAGAGGTAAAGCCCTCCAAAGGAAAATTGGAATTTAAATGCTGGTGCAAATGCTGCTCAGTCAGACAGGGTGCTGTGGTATTGTGTGGCCTTGGTTGATATGTTGAGCAGAGACGAGAAGGCAGAGGAATACTGGAAAAAAGCTATGCGATTGATGTATATGGTTTTATTACTGATCTATTATTGCGTAAGCAGCAACCTAATCACAGCAACCTGTAGTGTTTGATCACCGACTGCAACAGTCTGGTTGTAATCACTTTAAGAGGGATTTTTTATTTTCATCTTGTGCTTTTATTGATAGTGAAACAGCTCAGTCTGAACTGCTCTGCTGCAAAACTATGTGAAGTGATTTTTTTAAAGAAGAAGAAGAAAAGGAAAAAATATGTATAAGTGTTAGAATAAGTATATATTTATTCAATGATGTGATTCTGGCTTCATCGAGCTATGACCTCCAGCTTGGACTGGAGCTCTTTGCATCTAGCAGAATTAGCGATTCCAAATCTGAGACCCTGTCTCTCAGT